TGTTTTATTAGGTTTAAAGCCACGAGCGCGCAGCGCGAGTGGCTTTAGACCTAATAAAACACGACCTGCGAGTTTATTACGGCTTCAAACACGACTACAAATTCAATAGATATACTGCCTTATTAGTATTCTTTATATAAAGAATACCAATTAGGACACGACTACAATAGATACTGCCTTATTAGTATTCTTTATATAAAGAATACTAATTAAGAGTGTTTTATCAGGTATAAAGCGACTGCACGTGACATATTATAGTTGACATGATTTGTCAATAAGCTTATGAATTATTAATGAGTGTTTGAACGTTGTTTAATATGTACTGATGAGTGTGCCGTAAATATAATACACGCTATATTACGAAAGCAACAATATACTAAACTTTATAGTTAACTTGCTACCTGGATAGTTATTTTTCCCGTGTTAATTCTTCAACAAAGAATTTAATCTCGCAAATTTAATCTTTATCAAACGTTCGGGAATGGTCGAAAAAATTTCGAGGTTTAATAGTAAATTGTATTACTGTAGAGTGTATGCCAAGGGGATTATGTCTGTAGCCAATTTTAAGTTTCTCTAATTTATAAAATAATAATAAAAAACCACTACAATAATAGCAGAAAATAACAGCAGACGCAATGTATAGAAGCTGTTTTTGTTCTTCAATGCGCCATTGTTAAAAGAATTATTGGAGTGTTTCTTAAACTTACTTCTTAAATGATATCAATGGACAATGACAGTGTTCCTTTGTAATTTCCACACCTGTTTTGTTTAACAGAAAATTAACGCAAAGAAGTGCCGTTTTTAGATATGAAAGCTTACTAGTTTAGTTTTGATTATGGAGAAAAGTGGTTCATTTGTTGGCGTTGGTGGAATTTCTTTGTGGTGGAAGTCGTGGATTACAGGAGATTAGTTGCTTATTTGATTGTAAGGAAGATATGAGTGTTCAATTATCAAACTGTCATCTTTCTAAGTCGAACTTGAGAGAGAACGAGTTAATTGCTATTCGCGCGGGAATGTTCAATCTTACTGAAAACCAGCTTAAGATGATGTTTATTTTGTCCGGCCCACCGTCATAATTTGGGACGATTTTGGAGGCCGCTAAGACCATGCCAGTATTCCCTCCATTCGGGTCCTGATCGTAAGTGTACAGGAAGAGATGTTTTCAATGTGTCATTATCAAAAACAGTTTTTACTCTTTATGGGAAATTAATTCAAATAGGATCTCGTAAGTGTTACGCTACTTTTACTTCTTCAAGTGTTGTAATTAGTACTTTAATGACGCAGATGAATCTGGAGATAACTATCGTAAGTTTACGTGTTCTTCATGAAGGAGAATGCGTAAGTTTACGTGTTCTTCATTTTGAGGCGAAAGCACAAAGAGAAATGCTTGTTGACAACTTGTGGAAAATGCTTGCTGATTGATGTATGCCATCGGCTGTATACCACGACGCGTACGATTTATCATTTATGTGACTGTTTTTAAAATAACGAGGTTAAAAGAAATTTGTGCGCATTTTGAACTTCAGTTCAAATCAAAGAATAAAAAACAGACTCTCATTAATAAAATATCATCCATGATGGGCAATGCACATGTTTCCAAATAAATAACTAAATTGTCCAGGTGCGGACAAATATCCCAGACCGCTAACTTGGACATGTCGAGAGATGTCATTGTTCTTGGTCGCGAGTGTGTGGAGCCTGGATTCCTGGAACAGGATCGTTAACTCAAATAAAGTACTAAAAACGCCGCATGCAAACTACGATGTTATGTATTTTTTATTGTTATAATTTATATTACTATTATGAGACAAATCAAATTTTGCTGAAAAAGACCAATTGAAGTTGAAAGTTATTCACAGAATGGCGATTAGATGCAAACTACTGTAAAATTATTATTATTGATGTATAGATAAAAGATAAAGGACAGATCTCAGTATACGTCGCAGGCTCGCAGTTAGTCAATGTCAATGCAATTATAAGATCGTTTTATACGATGAATTGAATAGTTTACATGAAAGGACAAAAATTCTGCCAAATGGGCAATGCGGAAAACTTTTAACAGAATATAATAACAAGTTCATGGATTTATTAATTCGATGCGACGTTACGGCAACACACATTTTCGACATTGGCATTGTACCTGTCCGTCATGAGGGATACAACGTCTTGACGAATTTATTTCTTCTGACCGTTTTAGACCTAAAAGATTCGTCGCATTTCATCGATCGAATTAAACTTTTCTGAGTTAAATACAATGATTGTGCAATATATTAATCGCTATAAAAACTCCGCGAGCAACCTTGAACGTGTTTCCAGTTATCACAAAGGTAAACAATTGAGCTATTTATAGCCATAATTTATGAATTTTGCACTCCTTCATATTCCTTTTGCTGACAAGTTTTATTGCGAATAACATATCTTTAAGTATTCTATTTTAACCCTAAAAGTGTTTTAGACACCAGGTAGGTTGCACTTTTGAGAATTTTTAGTTTGAATTTTGTACCTAATCATTAGTTGTTCGGCGAACGAAAATACCGACTTCCTTGGATGGAGACTAGTAGGCTTAAAATAAGATGAACATTCAAATTCTTTCAACATTCTAAAAGAAAAAGAATGTGTCTCAATACGCTGAAAAATTTTTTTAATTTGACGCGAAACTTTCCGAGTTATGATGCACAATTTGACACATATTTGACCGCCGTTTTCGGGGTCAAATTTCAGTGTCGCTGAAGTCCAGACAAAAATTCGTTATAACTAAAAAAAAAGAAAAATTTAGAAATTCTAATCTTAGTTTAATACCTTTTAGGACAAAGGTAGTTCATGGTAAAAATATAAAGGAAATCTAATTTTCAACCTGAAACGCTCTGCATGGTTCTTAGTGAGACAGCCACTTAAGTCTTCACTACAAACCGCATATTTTCTCATCTGCTAGCCTATCTCATCATACCAAGCTAATATAGTGTTCTTGAAAAGAAGAATAGTTTCCCATTAAATCAGTTTGCTTATTTCGCCATGGGGGTAAACAACATCAACTCTCAATATTGTTTTTCTTTATTAAACCAAACACTACGAATGACTCTGGCTTGAGTTCTTTTCCTTATAAATTTTATTGATGGGTCAAGGAATTTTCAGTAATAATTCATCATCATTATTTCCATCCTCAGTGTCCAATGGAAGGTTGTCAATATCAGTCTTTTTGTGTGCTTTTTTATTATTTTGTTTACCACATGAGTCATACCATGCAGCCTAATCAACAAAAGTAATATTTTTCAAACAGTCAGGTCGTCCAACATTACAACATATCGTTTCAAAAGACCACCTGAATTAATTTCTTCAGATTCATGTATGAACATATATGAACAACGGGAGCGAGTGTTTTACCGGGATATCCAAATAGGCTACGAGAAAACAATGTATGAAAACACGAGCGCAAGATCAACACTGCTGAAGATGAATCTGATTTAGATTCGAAATATACAGTTTTAATTAATTGTGTGTTAATATTATGCACTCCTTATTCGGAATAACTTTTGTTTTATTTTTGCTGAAATTATCAGCCGGAAAAGGATAATAAGGGACAGCAATATGGCTCTTAAGCTTGTTTTGAAGTGGTCTCCGTTCGTGGGTTGTTGCTACAAACCATCCGGTTTCTTTACACTGTTAAAAATTGATGTTTTTTTACAGAAAAAATGCTTTAAAATTTTACAGTGATTTTTCTGTTGTTACAATTTAAAGTCTTATTAGCTGTAAGAAAACTCTTTTTTGTTTTTTTACGAGATAATTATGGTAATTTTACAAGTAGTTTGCAGCAAATATGTAACACAGAAAAAACTATGTGAAAATACAAATTTATGTATTTTTACAAATCTAATATTAATAATCTGTAAAAGTATAATAATACCTAATTTATAACGATATGATAATTTATAGTTGGTTAATGAAAATTACAGCAAAAATGGCTGTAAAACCCTAAAATATACAGTAAAAATTTACTTTTAACAAAAGCAGACATTCTGCTTATTACAATTTATGAAATTTATTTTCGTTGATTTCGTAATCTGAGGCTTAGCACTAGGTAAGCTCACTGTGAAATGTTAAAGTTCTAAATATGAAGATTGAATTTTTGGTGGTTATTTTTGACAAAGTCAATTTCAAGGGCACCAAATAACAGGGTTGTAAAGAAATGTTGTATGAACTGATGAACACATTTCTTCCTTCGCTTACAACCATGCAGAGGCTTGCAACTAGAGCAACTGTAAAGCAACTGTTCATTTGCAGCTGCAAACGACGGTAATATATCGGCGTAAACCAGTGAACTCAAAAGGTCTATTGAGTTCACTGGCGTAAACAAGTTGCATCAGTCAGAAGCATCATGTGCGATCACGTGAACAGATGCGTGAAATCTATCACGTTCAAACAAAACATGCATCGCTAAGCAAATTATTTTACTGGCAAAATGTAACAAGCTCGTACAGTAATTTTGCAACCGAAGACTGCGAAATTGAAGCTTTTTTGTCTCATTAAATTTACATTGCTGGGTGTCGTGGAGTTGTCCAAGTCCAAATAAACATTTCCTCGATCATGTAAGTGCCTTCTTTAAGTTTAATGCTTTATAAACGTTTATAGCTTTGTGTATATTCTTCCTCAAGCACTGCATGATAGCTGTATGCTCTTTACCGTCTTTAGTATTTGTTTTAAACTTGCTGGTTTTTTCGTTCCTAAATTCTAAAATGTACCACTGTAAATCGTGCTCAAATCGAAGCCGTTCTTTAAAAGATTATGTCGAGCACTACAGACTGCACTTTAACGAAGCAAATATTCACTTTCCTTGTGCTGTGAGAGGTTGTATTCGCAAATTTCAAACCTTCAGCGCGTTTAAATCGCATGTTTCTCGCGATCATCAAAACTCCAGGCGGGAAAAATCTAAATCCGTTGTTGTTGACATGACGATCAAATGCCCTTTTAGTTTTTGCTTAAAAATTTTGCCAAATATAAAAGACATGCTAGGACATCTAAAAGAACATATTGCGCATGGACTTGAAATTACATGCCCATTTCAAGGGTGTACTTCGTCATTTACAGTTAAGTCGTCATTCACTTCGCATCTAAGTAGGCGACATAAAAGTGTTGAGAACAGGCTTATTACCCCTGAATTACTTATCAACAGCCAGGAAAACCAAAATATCATTTTCGAAAACAATAATAGCACTGATTTTGAGGAAGATGCACCGTCTGAAGGTGATGACCAATCTATGTCAAGTGGTAATGGAGAAATAGAATCAGACATAAGTGATTTATTCGTCAAAAATCTAGCATTATTTTATTTGAAATTGAATGCTAAATATCATGTACCCTCTAGCACTGTTCAAAAAGTTATCGAAGAAATGCAATCGATGCACAGCATATCTCAAAACTTATTAAAGCACCGTATTAAAAGAAAACTGACAGAATTTTCTGTAGAAAAAGAAGTAGTTGATGAAGTTGTTCAGGATTTTATTTCAAATGATATATATAATTCTGTACATTGTGAGAAAGGAATTCTCAGCACTAATTTCAGACGTAAACAATTTTTCAAAGACAACTTTAGATATGTGGAGCCAGTCACAATAAATCTTGGTTTCGATAAAAACAAGATTAAAAGGTATTGTGAATATGTGCCAATAATTGAAACTATTCAAGAACTTTTGAAAGATCCTAGTGTTAAAGCCCAGTTTAAGAATCCTTGTTCAAGTTCTGACGGTGCATGTGCTAAGAGATTTCATGGATGGCAGTGTTGCAAAAAAACCCCTCCTTTTCATAGAACCTGAAAATGCTATTAAATTAATTCTTTACCAGGACGCTTTTGAAGTAGTAAATCCTTTAGGGTCAGCCAAACGAAAGCATAAAATTCTTGCTGTTTATGTTATCTTGGGAAACATTTTTCCACAAAACAGATCTAAAATTGATCAGATGCAACTTGTTTTACTCGTTCGGGAAATTGATTTTAAGTATTTTGGCCAAGAAGCGGTGTTTCGTGTGCTGGTGAATGACCTTAAAAAAATAGAAAAAATAGGAGTCCTAGTAGATGACAAGCGTGTCAAAGGCACTGTTGCCATGATTACAGGTGATAATCTAGGAAGCCATTGCATAGGAGGTTTTGTTGAAAATTTCAGTAGCTGCATGTATGTTTGTAGATATTGTCTCTATAGAACAGAAGAAATTGAGCATGGGAATGTTCTTGACACATATTCTACAAGGTCACCAGAAAACTATCAAAACGATTTACATTGTCTTGAGGTTAACCCTGCCCTTAATAACATTCGTGGTATCAAATTCAACTCAATTTTTAATGAGCTCGAGCATTTTCATGTGTGCAATCCAGGTTTACCTCCATGTTTAGGTCATGATTTATTCGAAGGCGTTGTACAATATGATTTGGCCCTGTTTATTAATTTTATGATTAAAGTGAAAAAATGGTTTACTTATGTCCAGCTAAATCATATTATTACTAAATTTAAGTATAATGGGTCAGATTGCAATAATAAGCCTAGTACAGTTGCAACCTCGTACCCAGGCTCTTACCTTCGCACGCCCCAAGCTGCGGAAAGACCCTGGTGCCGGCTGGTCACGTGGCTCCCAGATTTTGGGTGCTAAAATAAATTGCTATTCAGGGAGGGGTGGTAGAAATGATTTGTACGTATTGAAATTGTTTCTGAATTTGTAAAATAGTAAAATTCTAACTGTACGAGACAATAAGAAAAGATTTTTTCTTGACGAAATGTTAAAACAACAGATTAATCATGTGTTGCAGCCGAAAGAGTATCATATTACTCTCAAGGATTACAAATATCTCATATTTCACTGTCACTATATCGGCTTAGCAAAAGCACGCCAAAGAAATTTAACAAAAAGATCTCCTGGATCAACTGAAAATAGTTCTCGTTGTCGATTATATAATGGTGTACAAGATCAGATACATTGTAAGAATCTCTTCAACAAAACAAATTAAAGAATTTTGAATAACACGGAGTTGATTCATGGCGAGAGACTGCCGCCTGTTGATGATTTTCCTTATTTGATCTGCCGATCGAGTGCCGTCCTTGTGAACGACGTTCAAGAGTGTAATTTCCGAAACACAGAAATCATTAGTAAAAGATTCACGATCCAAGCGATGCCCTGAAGTTTTTCTACCGTTGCCAGATCTTCGGCAAATGTTGCTGCAGTTGAAAGTCCAAGGCGCAGTTTGGCTTTTACACTGACTTTGTCAATGTGTCCTCCTCGAGTGATGAAACTAGATCTGCTACACCTTTACCCATGTCAACAGAAGTAAGTCAATTGTTTATGAATATCATCTACCAATATACTTTACCGCAATTAATAATATAGTCATCCGTATACGTATGTTAGTAATCGCCATTTAAACCCAAAATGTACAATCCAATTGTGATTTCTCCATGGAATATTTTTTGCGAATATTTATAGAATGGCAGACGCGCGAAGGCCACTTGATTTCAGTCGAGATATTTGATCTTGTATCAGTGAATTCAAGGGAGACACAACTATAACAATACACGAACCGTCCTGAGTAGATATCTCAAATGATTTCCATGGAGAAAGAAAATCGACTTGTTTATTAAATATGATCCCTTGCAAACATCAACAATGGGTCAGATGAAAATCAGAGACTTTCCAGATAAAGCGTTGGCAGGATACAAATTATAAATAACATCTTTTGTCGAATAAATAATATATGTTTAAGTACATTTAAGAGTTTGTTAAGGCCCGTTTATACGGGCAAATTGAATGTCAAAGATATTTTGTTCGTGTAGATGATAAATTTGTGACAAATTTATTGCGACAAATGCATTTAATTTGAACAAAAGCTAGCAAGCTAGCATGCTAGCTTTTGATCAAATGCATTTGATCAAATAAAATTTGTCAAAATAAAATTTGCTCGTGTGCTTTACGACAGTATTATTTGAAAGCCCTGTACAGTTGTTTTGATGCAGGACCCAAGAACACGGAGATCTGTATGTTTAAATTGCAACTCTTGTCGAAGTTTGAACACAACGTTATCAATCGTGTAAAACCTGGCGAAATTGAATAAATAAATAAATACTTTCTAAACAAAGAACTTGCTTAGTTGGTTCGTCTTCAGTACAGTATGTTGTTATGAAATGCACTATTTAGAACAACGAATTCCAAACAAGCAAGAAATGCAATGAAACTCGAGCATCTTCGTTCGAGTTTCCGTTGAAATTATCAACTTTGCTTCTATGGCCTGGCAGCATGTGAATGACAAAAAGAACACAAACGCGCGCATAATTGTCAATTTGACAAGAAGTATTCAATACAAATTAGACACTGACAAATTGCGATATAAAGTGCTCTCAAATTACACTTTTGCAATTCAAACCAATACGTCCGCTCCTTGCCAACGAATTTTACTATTGGAAAGTGGAAGCATTGTAATTTAGATTTGTCCATCCCTCCCTTGGTAAATTAATATCCTGGGAGCCACGTGACCAGCCGGCACCAGGGTCTTTCCGCAGCTTGGGGCGTGCGAAGGTAAGAGCCTGGGTACGAGGTTGGTACAGTTGGTGATCAAGGACATAAGTTATAGGTGGTCATGCGGTTCAGAACTGGTGCTTACTCCGTCTTTTGCCAGTGCTCATTGCTTTGAAAGTTGGGGATACCAATGACCCTGTGTGGCATGTAACTCTGCTACTCAGAGAAATTGTTAAACTTGTCTGTGCGCCAGAAATAAATGTGGCACAAGTTGCATACTTAAAAGTTCTTATCGAAGAGTATTTGGATGAAAGAATATCCCTTTTTCCTGAGAAGCAAGTGAGACCAAAACATCATTTTATGGCCCATTACCCAGGGCTAATTATGCAATTCGGACCACTGATAAGAGTCTGGACACTTAGGTTTGAAAGTAAACATTCCTACTTTAAACAATGTGCCCGAAACAGCCAGAATTTCATAAACATATGTCATACTTTTGCAGAGCGCCACCAACTTTTCCAGGCATATCTCAGCAATGGTTCTCTTTTTGACGTTGAAGCTAGTCTTGAAAATGCTATCCCTTTCAATGAGGATCTGTACAATGATAGCATCAAAGATTCATTTTTTAGGCATCATTGTTCAGTTGAGGATGTGTTGACTTCTTGCTCTTGCAATATTAATGGTGTTCAGTACAAAAAAGGTCTTTTTGTAGTTGTTGAAAATAATGAATTGTCTCTAATATTTGGCAAAATTGTGATGCTTTTTCAACATAAGGACAACTCCATTTGTATTTTGGTTCAGAAAACCTCAGCTACTTACAATTCTAACAGGGGCTTCTACCAGGTTGAACAAAGCAGGGCTGCACCATTTGTATGTACCAAATTTTCAGAGCTCAAATCAAACTGTTGCTTGCCCTCTTATAGAGTAAATCATGAAGAAGTTATTGTCCTTCAGCATGCTATTGTTACCTAGGTTGACAAATCTTGATTCACTGGCTGGATATATCTAACTAATACGTGCTTTCAAATTTAATGATGCATTTGTTTTAGCAAGAAGTTGCATTTTTTAACTTGAACAGTGCACAAGGGTTTCTGTACGGTTAGGCCACAGAAGTACATTGTGGGTTTCCACATTTTTCAATATGACCTTAACACACATCACAGCATCAGTTATTGTTCCTGTATGTTGTAATTTTTCCCTGTTTGTTGTTTATCTAGCTGAAAGTGCTACTTGTCTACCCACTAGTCTGACTGGCTGCTTGATATGGATGAAGTTATTAAATTGATTCGTCACATTTTGCCTCAGTTGTCACCAGAAGTGTTAGAAAACACTCAAGATAAATTAGTTGAAATAGGAGTTGGGGATGTCATTGATTTACAACATCTTGAAGAAAATGACCTTACTTTAGTTCTTAGACCTATTCAGATTCGTAAATTACTGCAGCACTTCAAAGCAGGTGTGTATTGAAATTTAGGAAATATGGACTCACCCATTATTGCATTTAAATCAATTTTTATTTTGAGACTGTATCAAACTTTCAATTAATATTAATTCTGCTATTTATTACTATATATTTCCTGCTGAATTTCTTCAAACTAAACTAAGCTTCTTTGCAATAAAAACTCACTGGTGTTTTATGGATTACAGCTCACTATACCTCTTGCGAGAAAATTCAGCGGAGTTTAATAGGTTATCCAGGGCCAAGTACTGCTGTCATTGTCTAATAAATATGCTTCGATCTACTTTTACTTTGTTGTTTAGTTAAAAATCTTATTTTAGAATCACTCAGGTCACCTTCCTCTAGCAAGGACAACTCCATAACGACACCAGCAAATTTGAATGAGAGTCTCGGTAGCTCGTCGAGCTCTAGCAGAAGTTCTCCAATGCTCTTTGGGGACACAGACACGCAATCTGATGTAGATGATATTAGCAAAACGAAATGTACGGCTAAACCTTGCACCTATTGGATAAACGATTACAAGATCCCTTGGAATATGTTTTCGAAGACGCTATTAGAAGCTTGCACCCGAAAGGCTCGACCAAAACCTCGTGAACGACGTGAAATGATCAGAATCCTTTGCGATGATATAAGAGGATTTGCAGCAGTTCCTGGAAGAAAGAATCTGTCACGAATAGCACAAATGATGGTGGCAAAATACAAAGATTCATTCTGTGATGTTATTGGCGATTCTGTGATTGGTTCTGGACATGAATCCTTATTAAGACAGATGGAAGAAAGAATTGCTAATTTAAACAGAAAAGTTGGTAAACCTGCAGCTAAGTTAAGTATTTCCAGCGATGATGAGGATTCTGAACCAAAGAGCAAATCTCGAAAAACGGTTATTCACGACTCATATGGTTGTGTGAATTGGCAGCCAGAGTCGTTACCTACTGATGAAACCACGGAAACCCAAGAGTCAAAACAAGATTGGCTTATGGAGGAATTTCGAAAGAAAGAACAGGATAGAAAGAAGGTTTTGTTGTTCATGGAGAATACGTACACTTCACAGCGTTTGGTGATTAATAGGAATAACCCAGATAGCCCAATTGGAGAAGTTAAAGATAAATGGCCCTTCCTTTTTGAAAAGGAATGTATGTTTCTTCATTTTGAGCAGTTGATGGGATTCAAGATACAAGATGTCATGCAAGCGAGTCTAGCGAGTAAAGCTAAAATCATAGTGGAATATTTGAGACAAAATCACATACAGAAAAAGAAGATTAAGCAAGTGTTGTGGAGAATCGAAGCTGCTATGTCGTCGAAGAAAGACCAGCAGCCTGTGATGATTGGTGTATTCTTGCTGCTCTTGGCATATTTTGAAGAAAAACAAGAATTAATGATCAGATCAGATGTAGATGTAAGTTTCAATTGTAACTGTTATGTAATGTATTACGTATGCACTCCTATATAGCCAGCCAAGCATTTGTATTAACAGACATATAATAACTGGCTATATGGAAGGTATTAACATACAGGCATTTAACTGAATTAAATATCTAACAGCTTATCAGCTAGTGTCAATAACCTTTGTAATTTTAAGAACCGAGGTAAGTTTCTGAAGAATGGTTCAGCGTTTTGTGGAGTCACTTGTAAATCACATCAGGGTAATTCCATGGTGACTCGTGTTACATTCTGAACCAAACTATCAGAGCCATTTTGATCTGGTGTAATAACTAATGTATTTTTTATGTCACATTTTTGCATGTATGTACAAGTAGTATAGTAAGCTACTGATTCAAAGTAAAAATTAAACATTTGATTATAACATGATAAGGTTGGTGGCCGTAAATTGGTGTGTGACCCCTGTTACGACAAAGTGACATGAGGTAGCTAATACCAACCTAACTACTTCTGAATTTCTTCGGGAACCATAGGAAGGAGGAACATACAATGTCTATCGTGTAACAGACTATTTGTTAGGCAAACTACCAACACAAAGAATTTTTTTATTTTGGATTACAATAGTAAGGATTGCTTCATAATACATGTGACTCATGTTACGTCACTCATGTTACATATAAAATACAGCTTCATATTTCAGTTCAGAATTGTTTCCAATAGCTTCTGAAAATTCTTGGCAACTTTTTTTTTTCAAAAAATGTCATCACTACTATGGAATTACCCATCAATGCATATTTGAGATAAAGTTCTTTTTGATTGATTCTCCGCATTGTAAGTTGACATACGTATATGGCTGAGAATCAATCAAAAGAACTTTGTCTCAAGTTAGCATGCATTGATGTGTACAAGATACTCCTCAAAACGTTGAACCATACATTCTTAAAGTTAACAGACGTTTTGATAAGCAGTGAAAAATTTAATTCAGTTTTATTATCCATTTTGAATGTTGTTAGAAGGGTTCTTCTGAAGGAATGTTGTGTATGTGAAATGTAAATTGACTAATACTTTTTGTAATTTTCTGATTAAGGAAACTGTCAGCAATGAAGAAATACTTAAACAATGTCCAAAGTCGCCATTTTTAGTTATATTTGGTAAGCAATGTACAGTAATGTATAAGTGCTAATGAAATCAATTCAACCTCACTCCAATTTTGTTAGACTTAACATGTTACTCAATTAACAGCTAGCAATGTGCCTAGATGTGCCTATGTTAGCATGTTACTTTCTCTAACGCCAGATGATTTAACTCGTCATTGGAAGAGTTGACTGCCAGTTAATGGGTTAACAGAACTGTACTATCTGCCACTGTCTCTTGCAACCCATTATCTGGCAATGAACCCGAACACACCTTAACTTTAGTATTTTACTCTGTCTAATGCCAGATGATTTTACTTGTCAATGGAAGAGTACTGACATTTTAAACGGGGACCACGGAACAATTTTTGGTTGATGGGCCAAAGGCAGACCTTCCTATGGGTGGGGGAGGGGGGGACCCAATAGGGAATCTTATAAGTCTGTCAGAGCCCCGGACATGCAATCAAGTATTCACCAGTTGCAGTTTAAAACGTTGTAACGGATTATAATTTACCACAATTCTATCCCAAATTAATTAATTACAGGAAATCACAGACCTGTGACTACAACCATGCTATAATCTGACGAATATTTCAAAATGTTGTCTTCAATATGAGGCGCCGTGTGTTGCAAAATTCATACCGTTCTTTAACATACTATTGAAAGTTTACAACACATATTAGAATAGAAAACATAGTTTCACAACATGTGAAATACATACAGCATATGCTGAAACGTACACATATTGTACTGAAATGCTCAAAGTAAGCACTGAAAATAACTCTTAATACGGGTTCTCAGTGTACGCCATGTGCAAATTCTCAGTATACTTTATGTGCAAATTCTCAGTGTACGTTATGTGCAAAATCTCAGTGTAGTTTACGTGCAAATTCTCAGTATATTTTATGTGCAAAATTTCAGTATACTTGATGAAAATTCTCTACTTTACGTGCAAATTCTCAGTGTACTTTACGTGCAAATTCTCAGTGTACGTTATGTGCAAATTCTCAGTATACTTTACGTGCAAATTCTCAGTGTACTTTATGCGCAAATTCTCAGTGTACTTTACGTGCAAATTCTCAGTATACTTTACGTGCAAATTCTCAGTATATTTTATGTGCAAAATTTCATTGTACTTGATGTGCAAATTCTCAGTGTACTTTATGTGCAAATTCTCAGTGTACTTTATGTGCAAATTCTCAGTATACTCTATGTGCAAATTCTCAGTGTACGTTATGTGCCAAATTTCAGTGTACGTTATGTGCAAAATCTCAGTATACTTTATGTGCAAATTCTCAGTGTACGTTATGTGCAAAATCTCAGTGTAGTTTACGTGCAAATTCTCAGTATATTTTATGTGCAAAATTTCAGTATACTTGATGAAAATTCTCAGTATACTTTACGTGCAAATTCTCAGTGTACTTTACGTGCAAATTCTCAGTGTACGTTATGTGCAAAATCTCAGTATACTTTACGTGCAAATTCTCAGTGTACGTTATGCGCAAATTCTCAGTGTACTTTACGTGCAAATTCTCAGTATACTTTACGTGCAAATTCTCAGTGTACGTTATGCGCAAATTCTCAGTGTACTTTACGTGCAAATTCTCAGTATACTTTACGTGCAAATTCTCAGTATATTTTATGTGCAAAATTTCATTGTACTTGATGTGAAAATTCTCAGTGTACTTTATGTGCAAATTCTCAGTATACTTTATGTGCAAATTCTCAGTATACTTCATGTGCAAATTCTCAGTGTACTTTATGTGCAAATTCTCAGTATACTCTATGTGCAAATTCTCAGTGTACGTTATGTGCCAAATTTCAGTGTACGTTATGTGCAAAATCTCAGTATACTTTATGTGCAAATTCTCAGTATACTTTATGTGATCAAGCATTGTAGTTCACCGACTGGCCATATTACCGTGGACTCATACAGTATTCCCGAAACGGAATCGTCGTCAGGTTGTGGTGTACCCGAGCTATCATTTTGGCCGAAACTCGAAAGCCAGACAGCCCGGTAAGCGAGATTTTGCTGCACGTGTAGTAATTTTTATAGTAAAAATTACCGTGTGTTCACGGGACAAGTGGGATGGCCCGGCCGGTTGCAGAGATCTCGCTTGAAAGAGGGGAGATCTCGCTTACCGGGATGGAAATTTTCTATTTATAGTAAACACTCACAAGCGGGTTACAAGCGGCCTAGCCCGGGATGAAAGTTCAAAGATACCGCCGCAAGCTATTTTTAACTTGCTGGCAGAACAATGATCAAAACAAAATGGGGTGGGGCCGGTTTGCCGGGGGGGGAGGGGTGGAGGTTAACATTTTTTCAGGACATTAAAGGGTCAAAAAAATTTTCCCGAATAAAATTTTTCCTGACAAATTCTTGTTAAAAATGCTTAAAACCCTTTTTTGCATCAGTATCGGTGCATGATTTAGGTTTAGATAATGTTTTCTCACACCGTTACTTATATCAAAAAACGTTCCGGATTATTTTTTTTATTTTCCAAAATTGGGGGCCACCCTTACACTGGGGGCGCGGGCAAATTGCCTCATACTGCCCCCCCCCTTCTCTGAATTTGTGCACAAACAAACTTTTTTGTTTCCCCTGCTCGATTTTTATTTTTGCTTCCACCCTCTCCCCCCCCCCCCTCACTTTTCTAATGGTCTCGGCCAGCTTCCATATAAACAGTCTAAACAGGAGACTTGGAGCAAATGTAAGCTGACAGTTTTTGCCCGTTATGCAGGCTACCCGTTTTTGTCACATTCTTTGGTGGTAACAATAACACGTGCGCTATCAAATTTTTAAAATGGCCGGACAGCTAAATAATCCGGTTGGCGTTGTTGACGCTATTTTGGCAAGCGAAGAGCTTCGGAATGGCCTGTTTCGTGCTGTATCATCTTCAGAGCGATCTGTACAACAACGTAGGCGAAACGAAACAGTGGAAGAAGAAGTTAGCGCTGTTTTTCGTGGTAATTCAACTGGCACCCCCGTATCGACTGTGTCGTCTGTATCGAACACGCCAGTATCGAACACGCCACTGTTAACTTCTCCTGCAAACCGTTTTAACTTTGGTGAAACAAGTCGAAGTCAGAGCTACCCAATCTTTCAAATGCGGCGAAATTATTCGTCACAAGCACCAAAGAGGTAATGATATTAATATATGATGCTGAATTTATTAATTTTTATTTAGTCGGTTGAATATATTAATAATTAATTATACAGGGTGTATAAAAAAGTCAATTTTTTGTGCTTAATAACTTTTGGACTACTTCTTATAATAAAACGGTTTTAGGCTTATTTTAAAGCCTATTCATTTCTCTTTTGAAAGAATGCTCATCAGTATCTTTATTACAAGTATTAACTGCACAGGATAAAACTTATTAAGACCATAGTCGGTTGCAATCTTTGAATTTTCTTGTTCAAACTTCAATGTTCTTGTTGCCATATCAGAAAAACTATAGTGACTAGGTTGTTTATTTATTTCAAAATCCTAAACCAATTCCAAAAATCATCGAAACGATCTGACTTAATCTTATGGAGCGCCATTTAATCGGGCAGTATAAATGTAAACACAAGCAAGAAATTTACATTTTAATTAACCAAGGACTCGGGTTTTTAAATACACCTTGTACAATAGAATAACCACAATGTGGAATGTTGGTTTAGTGGTGGTATATATTTGATCACCATTTGGTTCAAAACTTTTACAGACGCAAAACATCAGGCAAAAAGTCAAAGACTGTCCAAGGGACCTTTACAAAAGAAATTATATTATTACCATCCCCAGGGGATAAAGTAGTGGTGAAACAGGGCGTGAAGCAGATGCTGTACGAAAAAGGGCATATTCTCAATGCTGTTGAGATAGATAAGGGATGGAGTGCAGAAGATGTGTTGGGGCACATTAAAAGCTGTTTTGGAACCAAGATTCCAGAAGGAACTGGGTATGAATATATAATGTCTATTGTATATTTAATATAGAATACAATAAAAGGTGAATGCTAGATCAGTATATTTCTATCAGTTAGGATGTGGGTGTGATATAGGATTCCAGGGGGTGTGGTATATAATTGGTGGTGGTGCATAGCCAGGGGATCAGATAAAATCAATTTTGAATGTAAGTCAAGGCTTCATTTTTGTTCTCAAATGAATTTGGCGATAAATTGCTTCATGGGATAAAAAAGAGACAAGGTTAATTTAAGCTTTATAAATTGAGATCATCGGAGGAAGGAAATATTTGATTTACAGTACAAAACATTAATGAAAAATGTTTAAAAATCAGTCCAGTCCAACTGTCCAGTCTGTTATATTTTGGTTTTAGAAGCCAATATCAATTACAATTGAAAAGTATATTTTATTAAATCTCATGAGATAAAACAATGTCAGTTACAGAGAGAACCGGAGACATGAGCCCACAATACTGATCAATAATTAAAATATGCTACATATGCTAATTTTAATCATTACACAGTCCATGTTTTCTCCATGATAATAAATTGTATATGCTGTACTTATATAATTGCTCTAGTAGTTGGCTAATAATTCCTAAATTATTTATGCAGGCTTGATATCCTAATGGGTTGCGGAAACAAATTGGTCAGTCCAGCATTGTCGTCTGGACAAACATTGACTGGGTATATGATAAATAAAATATTTGGAACAAAGGCTGTTTATTTGAGACCAGACGTTGGACTATTTAATGTCAAGGTACCGCTATTTTTTCTGTCTTTATATCTCAGTATACACAATTATCATTTATTTATTCACTTTCTCAAGATTGTATTTGGTCATTTTTTATCGCAATGAATGCCAATGATGCCATAAAAGTGTCAATGGACAACTAAAAGCCTGATCAATCTTTATAACTTTAAAAACAGATAAAGTAACCTATTGATTTAAATAATGCGGGATAACATGTCAATGTTGGATTGCCTATTTTTATACACCCTGTATTAGGAGAAGAACCTGTGTACAATAATAGTTTTGTTTGTGGAAACACCACGTAAATTTATTACTGCAAAGCTTTCGATCCGTAAGCCGTATCTTCATCAGTGCTAATAATATCATATTATTAGCACTGATGAAGATCCGGGCTTACGGATCAAAAGCTTTGCAGTAATAAATTTACGTGGTGTTTCCACAAACAAAACTATTATATTTTATCACCATGCAAACATCAGGGCCGGATTAATGTTCCGCGGGGCCCATGGCATATTATCAGCACGGGGCCCCTTGACCCCCCCCCCAACGGCATTTTAGACACTGAATTCAATCAAATTTAAAAATATTCTGTTGCATTTCATGCGTTGAAAAATTTCGTTTTGTATTTAGAAAAGAAAAAAATAATTATACATCAATAATTTGATTGAATCCGAAATTCACCCAGTTTATACCATTAACATTATTATTATTTACAGATGATAGTGTCCATGTAAACTTCCGCCGTTTTCCACAAAATTCAGCAATCTAGTATTTAACAGTTTACTGCAAATTTTAAAATTTTCTGACCCCTATGATTTTTTTTGGCCTCGCTTTTTGGAGCCTGTTGCCCAAAGAAGTAACAAAAAAAATTGTTTGTGGCTCTGCTTTTGGAGCTTTTTGGAGCCTGTTGCCCAAAGAAGTAACAAAAAAAATTGTTTGCGGCTCTGCTTTTGGAGCTTTTTGGAGCCTGTTGCCCAAGGAAGTAACAAAAAAAATTGTTTGCGGCTCTGCTTTTGGAGCCTCGTTTAAAACTTTGGGGCTTCGCTTTTTTTAATTTTTTGGGGCTTCGTTTTTGGGGGCCTTGGACTCTTGGGACCCCGCGCTGAAACAGAGAAAAAAAAAAAACGTTTGGGGCCCCGCTCTTTCGGGTCTAGATTTTTAAATTTTGAGGTCTGAAGTCTTTCTGGGCTCTTGGCGGCTACGCGCTGACACAAAGAAGAAGGCCATGGACTCTTTGGGGCCCCGCGCTGTTTGGATCCCGCGCTGAAACAGGGAAAAAACCGGTTTGGGGCTGCTCTCTTTGGTGTCTAGATTTTTAAATTTTGAGGTCTGACATCTTTCTAGGGACCTTGGGGTCTTTGGGGCTCCCACTGGCGCACTATTTGCATGAGCCCCGCGCTGAAACAGGAAACAAAAAACTCGGAATAAAATGGAAGAGAGTGAGCGCAGGACCCCCAAAAGCGCGGGCCCGCGGCATATGCCGCTTCTGCCATATGGTTAATCCGGCACTGGCAAACATACAAAGAACTTAACCTGTGTACAGTTGTGTATTAACTTTATTGTTTCTGTTATGCTTCTGCTAGTATAGCCTGAACTATGTAATGAAATGTTATATTAAGGTTGAGTCAAGTGATGATGAGTATTCTGATAATGAAATACCATTACCTACATCAAGATATAGTGAGCAGAATATCAGTGAATCTCCTAACCCAGAGCATATTGATCAACAACTAAACACACCAATTGCTGATTTAAGCAAATCAAATGGGTATGTGTTGTTACTAATTAATCGATGTTATTTTGGTGTGATTACTGTGATATGGGCAGTTTCTGGAATAAATGAATTAAAGTTTGAATTATCTGCATTGCCAAATTATATATATGTACTGCATGTTCCATGAAATTTGAGGAGTGCATGTTTACCCAACATTGATGTACATGTTCTATTTCATGTACGTCATTGTACCCATAGTTGTTATTAAATATGTGGTAATGTAGATTTCTGGTAATTCTATTAGTTTTTAATTTTTTAGAAGGGAGGCAGTTTATGCTTCGTATGTAAGTTTGTTAGATGACAGTGACGATCATGATATGTTATATCAGCAAGAAGAAGCATATTTCAACAATGCAATAGAAGCCTCTCTTCGGGAAAGCCAAGTGGAGAGGTTAGTGGCTTGATGTAACCATTACTATTTGACAGATAAGAGTACTAAGCTTTTGTCTGTACATGGACAATGTACCTGGACTAGGAATTTTAAATAAGAGCGATGACTGGTACTGGTACAGTATATGCCGAAATAGCTATACCAATTTATGGCCTGTTAATTAGAGAGGAAAATTCCTTAATGGATATTTAGAGGGCATTTCGATTTTGAACTGATTTGGACATACTGTCAACGATAATTTAGAAGCTTTTTTGAAGGAATTTCTAATTCCATGCAGACAGTTTAAAATTCACTAGCATACTCGAACAGGCCTCGAATTTAGCAGCGGCCACTGGCTGTCGATACCTTGTTTGTTGGCCGATATGCCCTCGAAATATACTGAAATCCACGACCATGCAGTAGTGGCCTGCCCTCAACCACATAGTGCAGTATATACTTAAGCTTTAGAATACCAAGTGTATGATTTATAAAATTGGCAATAATCACTTATGCACTGTACAATTTTATTAGTTATAGTTTAAGTCAAGAGGCAATTTTTTTCAGCGATGCAAAGTGTTCAGAACGTATTAATTTATCTTTTTGGCATTCCTCTCAAAATTACTTTATTTTAGCTTTATTCTCTAGTTTATAGAGTTAGCAAACTTTTTAGATGCATCTGCCGGTTGAGAAAAATAAAATAATAGTTAAAAATTGTCAATTAAAAAAATACAATTATCAATGATGCTTTATTTACAGCCATATAAGAAAACTTACTGAACTTCAGACATCATTTTCTCTTTGGCGTATCATCTAAAATCTCTTCATTTTAGCATTATTTCACAGATAAAGCACTAAACGTACTTTTTAAGTTTGTTTGGCGCTTGAAGAACGTATAGAAAAATAAAAATTTTGAATTTAGTCATAACCCCAAGTGGTATATTATACGCATTAGTTTTGAGTGAGTATTATTCAACATACAAAAAAACTCCTCTTAATAGGTAGTTACGATATATGTAAATATGATATGAATAGTTTCATTTGGCATTTTTAAAAATATTGTTGCTGTTCTGTATATATTTTTGTTTTCTCATGGAAGCTCAAACGTTATTTGAAACTTCAAAATAGCAGTGAATAAAATTTTCAATCTGGCCTTGATGCCCTGTATACTGGCCTTGATGCCCTGAAAAACTTAGTAACATTCAAGGCCAAACTGGCCTTGCCTTTATTTTTCCCAAATTCGAGGCCTGCTCGAACAACTTTAAATACTGAAAAAAATATTACTTTTTTATCAGACCTGATAAAAGTATGGTGGATTTGTTAAAAGAGCACCAGCAAAGATGTATTTTACGTGATGAGTGGAATCAAATTATTGTTTGTAGAGCAAAGCTTTTACCAACAGCGTTCACTGCGATAAAGTCAGCAAATTTTAATTGCTGTAAAGACCTCAAAGTGAAATTTAGTGGCGAAGATGGCGCCGATTCAGGCGGACCCCGCCGAGAATTCTTTAGGTAATTTAAATTGAATTAAATTGAAAAACTGCGGTGCATTATGTTCTTGTGCATTGTATATTTGAGACAGTATGCATGCGGTTAACCAAGTGACTTATGAGTTATGTTTATCATTTAATATAGAATTGTCATGCGACAATTACCGGCAACGATGACCCTATTTCAAGGACGACTTGGCCATACTATTTTCACCCACAACATACAGGCATTGGAGGAAAACAGGTTCTTCCTGGCAGGTCGCCTTGTCGGTATGTCTATTACCCATGGGGGACCCGGTTTATGCTGCTTGGATCCGCTGCTGTTTAAATTAATGTGTGGTGCACCATGTGACGTATCCTTGTTTTGTATTAATGAAATAGGAGACTGGGATTTCGTTGATATTATGGAGAAGGTACTGTATCTGTGATTATATTCCACCCAGTAGTAATCCAATGACGTCAAATATTTCACAGTTATTCTGCGAACTAGCTCGTGGTACTGTATATGAGTGATAGTCAGAAATGTGAGTAGCTCTGATTTGGCTATCATTGATACAGTATACGTAGCCTGCGTCTGCAAGCGGTATATGAAGAGAGTAAGCTCTACTGATAGGATATTTCATAATATCCTATCGGTAGAGCTTTTTAACAGTTTTTAGCGACAAAGTCAAAGATTATTTTATGCGTACAGCAAAACTCTTATTTTTTTATCTCATTTATAGTTAAAGTCAGCTGCATCTGAGGGCTCGTTCAAGAAATTTATTTCCGACAATGGAGACTATGTTGCCAATATCGGCTATCCATCAATCTATACTGTGAAGCTCAAAGACAAAACACGTATAGCGTGTTCTTTACTAAAATACTTTTTACTCTATAGGTAAAAAATTTCATCAGTTGCCTTTTTTACAATTCTTACGTGCAGCAGCATGGAACTTTCCTTGCGACCTTATTGTTAACAATACTATAGTAAAAGGTTCAGTTCTCTGAATAGTGTTTTTACTATCTCAAAAAATTGTATGTTCTCCTAACATGCATGTATGTTTTATTGCCATTTCGTTGTGGATGCGTATCAAGTCTACTTAGAATATTTCTGAGCCCTAACGGGAATTGAACCACGTTAACCTTCTGATAACCGGGCAGACGCTCTAACCATTGAGCTCGATGCTTTGCAACAACATGCTTTGCAACAACATGCTTTGCAACAACATGCTTTGTAACTGAAGGCGCTGTTATCATGCACGATGCAATTTTTCGTGCAACTTGTCTCACGTCAAGTTAGTGCGTTGTCTAATATGCCCTACAAAGCCCGCGTCAAATTTACATTTAATTAACGTTCGCTAATAAATATACCTGTATATCCTTCAAAAATATAGTCTATAAATCATTTTATAGTCCTTAAGCTAATTAAATGCCCCCGTCCGTGTAATTAACTCTTTAAAAAATAACATTGTGTATTTGTAATTTCAGAGTGAGTGCAGAAATTGGCCAGTTCACACGGGGAATCAACGACGTTGGGGGATTATGGAACCTGATTAAAAGCCACTCAGGAGAATTTGAAAGCTTATTCACAGAGCGTCCAGTTTCGATAACTGGCGAGGCGCTAAAAAGCCTATTGTTTATTGAATGGAGTGAACTCGGAAGTAACGCGAGAATTAAAGAAGATGCAACAATTTACTGTTGGGAACTGTTCGTGAAAAACGTTGAAGGTGTTTGCCGCACAATAGTTAATTTGTCCAATCTCAGTCTCTAAATAAGCAATAGAAAATTATAAAAGCTCCCCAAAGGATAACACATGTATTATCCTTCCCGCCCTTTTTGTTTATTTAGTTCCCACTCCCCATGTCGGAGTGTTTATGAATACTCTGTTTATAATTAATTATATAGTATGAAAGAAATTGTTACGTGAAATATCTGAGTTTGGTTCGGTTTATGTTTATATTAAATGACTTTTGCATAATGTAAATAATTCCATACTGTAGGCAGCGACCATAGTAGATAGTGAATTGGAATTAAGGACTTGGAACTTTCAATATTTGTTAATTAAAGTACTTTGATGTATGTTTTGTGTAGAGGGAAATGTCAGTGTTGCTGTCGAAGATGATATGGTGCAGGTAGAATTGCCAAATTTGCTTCAATTCATGTCTGGCGCTGATAGCATTCCACCATTGGGATTCGGAACAAACCTAACGATCATTTTCTATGATCAGGAAGAAGGGAAAACCCGACTGCCATATACTTCCACCTGTGCTTTGCAACTTGCACTACCCCGCGGCCATGAAGACGAATCTACTTTCTCGGAGTTGCTGACGAAATCCATCTTTGAATCTGGCGGATTTGAGAAACCCTAAACTGGTAAAGACAGACTGTGACCACAAAGTTGTGTTCTTGATAAATTGGTTTTATGTTGTTCGGGCGTGACCGGACACTGCTTTTGCCGGACCCTGCATTCCCTGGACACTGCTTTCCCCGGATTCGGCACATCAGTGTTCGGCAAAGGCAGTGTCCAGCTCATCCCTAAAGTTGTTGGTGAAATATGCATTTGATTGACATTTGATTAATGTTTATTTGCTATTTGTGCTTCTTTTCGTGTTAGTGTTGGGTGAACGCTTAAATAGTTGCGCTCAGAAAGTCCACTACATTAATAAAATGATTTATGCCGTTGTTTCCATCGTCTGTCATTGGTTGTACTAGTATTTGCAGCTGAGTAAGCATAATATCTGTCACAATTAATTCATTTTCCGGAACGACAACGTTGTTGTCCAGATCAGAAAAGTCCACTTCGATGAAATCACCAGTTCCGTATTCCTCTAAATCATCAGGTACGTCCATTATACCAAAACTGTGTGTTGAATATCGGTTTTGGATCATGCCTGCGTGCCACAGCTGAAGCGGAGTTCTCCCATGAACTGTGCTAAGGTTGTGATTGTTCCATTGAGAGACAAATTCAGATAAACTTTGGTTAATCCTGTCCATATAAACGTAATGCAAAGCCCACAAATGCACTTCATTTGTTGCATCAAGAATTTCAAAATGTTCCATAAAAGTGAACAGATTCTTGAAATGGGAATTGACAATCCTGTTTACTTCGCCCCACAACCATTCGATTCTCTGGTTGTGCACGCTTCGGCCTGCGATAAAACTGCCTCTGTTACCACCACGATTAGAAATCATGAAGCGTGCTATGTCGACGTTCTCTACACCACGATCACCCCTGACTCTTGATGGTAAGCCGAACCTATGCACCCCTTGCTCAAAAAGTCCCAAAGCAGTTTCTGCCCTGTTGTTATTGGAACATTTAACGTAGATGACGGCTCTGCTATAACCATCTATGCAGCCATGATGTATGAATAGCCACGAAATTAGTTTGTGGTTCCCATCGATATGCCTTAGAAAAAAGTGAAATATAATTAGACAAATTAAGCTCAAAAGATTAATGAAAATGTCAACGGTTGTTAATTGCTACAGTTACGGCGTCTTCCAACGGGATACTAGCTAGCAACTTAAAATCTGGTATCCACCCAGAAAATCTACAAAACATTTTTTCGTTCACGATTGTTTGATAATTTATTTCAATAAGTGGTCTTTCTTCAACTTGTTCATGCAGTTAATATTTGCTGTGTCTTGGTAGATTTTTTGTTCGCTCAGTTCATATAATGTATCTTATTTGAACACGAGTGCGTGAAAACGAGCTATACAACGTGGCGTGAAACGTATCTGTTAGTATGTTAATTAATTAACTTCAGCCAATCACTTCAAGGATAGTTAATAGCCACGCACAGATTGGCTGGGCTGAAGATAATTATATGCATGAACATAAACGCTTCTTATTTTGAATTTCGAAGCGCATCTTCTCTGTATGCTAGCGGTATTTTGTGGAGAAATTTCAGTCGTATATATGGATTGCTACTTTACCACAACAAATTGGGCTGAACAACATTGTACGTCCTTCATTTTAAACGAGTTCTTCTTAATGCTCTTCCAACAGGATCTAAAATCTATAAAAAATTAAAACCTCAATATTTCGGCTAACCGATGCTAAAACAGTAAAAGAAAAACAAGAACGGACATTCGCCTTCAATAACTTGAATACAGTAACAGTGTATTTCTAAGTCAATTCCATGTGCAACCTCCCCCTTCTGCATACATGGGAATTGGATACAAAACCATTACCATCCAGTCGAAAATATGTCAGCAGTTGTGCTAAGAAGAATTACCAAGGTAACTTCTGGTAGTGACTTTATCTAACCCTTATTATAAAATATCTAAATCATTAATTAAGTCGTGCCTATGATCACAGTGGGAGTTGACACCTACATAACCTGGACGACAAAACTACAGACCTGCAACCTTTCGCGAACTCGCCACCTTTGTACTCGTAATCCTCTTGATCTTATGCTCCCTTGAACATACGTTTCCCCTGCATTAGGACTGTGGTGTATTATTTGGGTGAGCATAGCATCAAGGTCCTCATCAGGTATATCTGAAAATGTACAGGCTTGATTTGTGTTCATACCAAGCGATAACCTTCTTCTATAGATTGTTGTTCGATTGACACCAACTGTGGAGGCAATATCTGTCCATGTCATGCCTGTCGCATGTAATTGGACTAGTTGATTTCTGGATATGTCATACCTGTAGTTGAAAAGATAAGTCTTTAGACATTTTTCCAAATTAAGGGACTGGTCCTCCTGCTAAGGTCATAATTTAGCAGGAGGGGTGGGGAGGTGGAAACAGGGGGGGAAGGTCACATATTTTTCAGCCAGGAAAAAGGGGGTTCATAAAATATTAGACAGTTTATGAAGGCAGGGAGGGGGTCTGCTGTTTTAGTTCAATTAACTGTTTTATACAATGCCTTCTCACATTTTGTTTGAGTTGCATTGAAAAAAATTGATCCTTTAAACTTAGAATGAAAAGTTTGAAAAAACTAAAGTTTTATATATGACTACAGTATGTATTGGTATAATATAAATTCTAGTATTTGATTTAAAGCACAACTAGAAAATTAGAAAATTTAAAATGCAATTAGAAAATTTATTGAATGCAGGGTTTAGTAGTAGTAGGTAGGTACATTTTTGCTGACACAAGCAAGAGAGAGGGGGGGGGCATTATTTTTCCAGGTTATGGCAAAGTAGGGTCACAAAATATCATTCCTTAAAATTTTGAATTACACCTCACCCCCCTGATAAATAATGACCAGTCCCTAATGCAGTTTTTTTGCCATTTCCTAAGTACATAACGAACAGGAGTACAGTCAAGTAGACTTCTTTTCTCAAATCTATCTGAAAAGGATGTTACCAAAACAGAGCCAACTTGATCTGTTAAAAGGGTTATGATGGACTACAACGCCTATGGCTATGATGATTTGATTAAGGTAAATAGCGGTACGTTGAGTACTACATCCTGTGATCCTGAAATGGATTTACTACCAATTAGGAAGATACAGGTGACATATATAAAAGGTGTAGTGTAGTAGGCTTATAAGAAATGGATCTTGGTTCGAATCGGTCGTTTGAATAATTTTATATTAAAACAAAATAAAATGCGCACCTCGGCCGTCCTCTACCTCCTTCCCTCGTCACATCTGGAGTTGGATATTCTTCACCAGCGACAAAGTCACGTCTCTCAAGCAGGGTATTGTAGTGCCTGAAGACATTATTTACGGATAAAAAAAGCTCGTGTATAAACCTTGTTAGCTCTCCCATCTCCCCGGAATTTTCACAACAAGAAAGAATGCGCTCGAGTACACTTAGATGGTCATGCAGTTTTCTGTGAATGTGCTCAATTGCGTCCATATCAAGGTTATACCAAAGTCTATCTGCTTCCTGACAAGTGCCCTTTAAAGATTGTAAGTATTCTACAACGTCAATATGGACTAAATCCTGAAATTGCATGTCGACCGCCATCTTGATTTTACCGCGTAGTAAACTGGGACCTAATCGATACAGTATGACCATATGACACTCTTGATTTCAATTTTCAAGCCATAAATAATTTGCACATAAAGTATACTGAGATTTTGTACATAACGTACACTGAAATTTTGCACATAACGTACAATGAGAATTTGCACATAGAGTATACTGAGAATTTGCACATAAAGTATACTGAGATTTTGCACATAACGTACACTGAAATTTTGCACATAAAGTATACTGAGAATTTTCACGTAAAGTATACTGAGATTTTGCACATAAAGTACACTGAGAATTTGCATGTAAAGTATACTGAGAATTTGCACATCAAGTATACTGAAATTTTGCACATAAAGTATACTGAGAATTTGCACGTAAACTACACTGAGATTTTGCACATAACGTACACTGAGAATTTGCACGTAAAGTATACTGAGAATTTTCATCAAGTATACTGAAATTTTGCACATAAAGTATACTGAGAATTTGCACGTAAACTACACTGAGAATTTGCGTGTAACGTACACTGAGAATTTTCACGTAAAGTATACTGAGATTTTGCACATAACGTACACTGAGAATTTGCACGTAAAGTATACTGAGATTTTGCACATAACGTACACTGAGAATTTGCACGTAAAGTATACTGAGATTTTGCACATAACGTACACTGAGAATTTGCACGTAAAGTATACTGAGAATTTTCATATCAAGTATACTGAAATTTTGCACATAAAGTATACTGAGAATTTGCACGTAAACTACACTGAGATTTTGCACATAACGTACACTGAGAATTTGCACATAAAGTATACTGAGAATTTGCACATGGCGTACACTGAGAACCCGTATTAAGAGTTATTTTCAGTGCTTACTTTGAGCATTTCAGTACAATATGTGTACGTTTCAGCATATGCTGTATGTATTTCACATGTTGTGAAACTATGTTTTCTATTCTAATATGTGTTGTAAACTTTCAATAGTATGTTAAAGAAAGTATGAATTTTGCAACACACGGCGCCTCATACCAATCAGCATATGTTCCATCAAATTTTGTGATTGTAAGCTTGGGTAACCTGGCTTGGATGTTTCCACTTGCGCTTGAAGATATCTCACTTGACGTCGGTTCTTTTGATGATTCTTTGTTTATTTGCTGAGCTTGTAGTTTCATCTTGGCCTCATGAAGTTCCATTTCAAAGTCTAATTTCTTTTTCTGGTCGCTATATTCACGTTTCTCTCGCGTTTCGTTCAACCACTGTTCTAAAATAGTAATTTTCTCGTCGCCCTCGTTTAATTTCTCGCTCTATTTCACCGATCCATGTGTCAATCTCGTCGCTGTTTTCCTTAGCTGTAATTTTCTCTGCTTCGATCGTTCGTACCAGTTTATTGACTTCGTTTATTATCTCTTTCAATGTCTCGACATGTCTCTTGATAGCACTCTCTTTTGCAGATTGTAACAACGTTTCTGTTTTGTCTCTAGCTCTTCCGAGTTGTACAAATTTTGTCGCCAATTCAACACTTGATTTCGAGTCGTTCTCTGCCATATTGCTATGTATTGTATTCGTTGTTTACATAAAAATCTCCATAAATCCCGTCCGAGGTGCCAAGTGTCCTGAATTCTCCCTTCCTGAGAAGTAACGAGGACAAATCACGATAACAAAATAATAATAAATTTATAATAACTTTAATAATAATAAAATACAAGTTTCTCTCACTGATTTCTCACTGTTTCTCTCTCGCTGGTTAGTCTCGCATGCTTGTTAATCACGTGACCCATCACAAAGATGTCAATGTTCGCTTTGGCTTCGTAAAGCTCCGTAATGGGCCCAGTTCGCTACAAATAATAGAAGGGTTGAAACACCGGTCACGTGATCGTTCGATGTTTACCAAGAGTAGTCTATCCACCAGGAGATTTCCGATTGCAGTTCGGAAATGCATCTGAAAGCTATTTTTGATTAAAGAGCAAGTTTTGATTATTTACATTTAAAAAAACTTAATATTGAAACTATAAACTATATTTCCAAAGACTTTCAACGCCTTTAACCAAGAGCAACTGAACCACTACGAACCCTGTTTAACATTTCTTGCAGATGCAGGTTGTATTAATTTGCATTGCTTCTGCTTCTTTAGGCTCCACTTCTTCAGAACTTCGTCAGAACTTTGGCGTAAATATATACGTATATCATCTTAAATTAATTTATGCTTACAGTTACATGTGCTTTTATAGGTTGCTATCGACAGTGTTATTCATATAGCATATCAAGCTTACTTCAAACTGTAGGCTACTGGATTCTACAGCTAAAAGATGGGTTGATGCATAGGGTAATCATGATTCTGTAGAAAAAGATTTCTCTGAAGTAATAACTGAAAGATTTGAAAATATAACAAGTCCATTTTCTGAATTCGATACAAAATTTCGGCAGGGATCATATATCAAGAAAAAATTTCAATTAGGCCCTATGTTGATTACGGTGAAGAAGTTATTATTATTATTAATATTATTATTATTATTAAAGAATATTTTCACAGAATAAAATGCTTCAGTAATAAATTACTGCTATCAACGCATGTCCTGTATTCTGTTTCATCATTGTGCAAGATCCTTGCGAAGGTCAGTTCAAAGAAAACCAGAGTGATATTTAAAACGACTAAAATCCTTCATCCGTGACTATGGCTGCGACTAACTCTGCTGTTAAACCTATTGGCCTTTCACAGCCCGAAGTAACTCTGTTTACCAATGCCTCAAATCAAGGTTGGGGTGGTGTTTTAGGCAAAGTCACCATCGGGGGTCGATGGACTTCCTCTGAAGCAACCCACCACATAAATTTTTTGGAAATGCTAGCTGTATTTTTTGCTCTAAAAGCCTTTCAGACACAGTTGCTGGGTAAACATGTGTGTGTTAGAATAGACAACATGACGGCGGTATCAGACATAGGTAAAATGGGTACCAGCCATTCTAGAAATCGCAACAACTTAACTTGAGAAATTTGGACCTGGTGTATTATACATCTTGTGTTCTTAACTACAGCACACATACCAGGCAAAGAAAATGAGGCAGCTGATGCTGAATCTAGAAAAGCTAGAGATCAAACTGAATGGGCGTTAGACCCAGAAATATTTCAACAGGGTACCCAGAGGTTAGGGGTAAAACCAGTTATTGACCTGTTTGCCTCCCGATTAAATTATAAATTGAAACCTTTTATTGCTTACCAGCCTGATCCTGAGGCTGAGGCAGTTAATGCCTTCACAATCTCATGGCATTAATACTTATTTTATGCATTTCCTCCTTTTAGCGTAATACCATTAGTCTTGCAAAAATTCGAGAGGAGGAGAGTACCTGGCTGATTGTGGTCCCAAATTGGCCAACCCAACCCTGGTGGCCATATTTAATGCGCATGGTCATCCAGAATCCAGTTGTTTTCCCGAACAACAAGAACATGTTACAATTACCCACCAAACCAGACCTTGTACACCCACTGTATCCCAAATTAACGCTACTACTGTGCCATGTTTCAGGCAAGCCTTCGAAAATAAAGGACTATCAGAAGCAGCTTTATCTGTCATATTGTCATCGTGGAGGAAGAGTACACAAAGACAATGCACACCATACATTAATAAAGGCTACAGTACTGTAATTCAAGGAAAATGGATCAACTTTCAGCAACTAGAGAAGATGGAGTAAATTTCCTAGCAGAACTTTACGAGGAAGGTATTGGCTATAGTGCTCTAGATACAGCTAGGAGTGCATTATCAACTACACTTATGGTATCGGACAGTGAAGCATTTGGTATTCACCCACTAGTAAGCCGCTTCATGAAGGGTGTATTCGAGACAAGACCATCTCTACCACGTTATGGAGAGACTTGGAATGTGAATGTGGTGTTGGACTACTTATCTGGCTTGGGTCTGCCTGAGGAACAGACATTTAAAATGCTCACCTATAAAGTTGTCGGGGCAACGTCGGCAAACAATGCATGCACTGGATATCAGCACAATGCAGTTAAGTCTAAACAAGTGTACATTTGTTATAAAGTCATTGCTTAAAACCTCACGACCAGGCAAACATTTGACTCCTGTCGAGTTTAAGTCTTACACATTGGATAGAAACCTTTGCCCGGTTGCACATATTTCAGAGTACATCAAACGAACAGAGCTATTGAAAGGCAATCAGCATAAATTATTTATTAGCGTCCAGAAACCGTATGAAGAAGTGTCCGCCGACACCATCAGCCGTTGGTTAAAAACCACTCTAGCGCTGGCCGGTATAGACATTGCCAAGTTTGGAGCACACAGCACTCGGTCAGCGTCTACTTCAGCAGCCAAAGCTATGAACATACCGATTGACATTATTATGCAAAATGCTGGATGGTCTCAGGAATCAACCTTTGCGAAGTACTATTTAAAACCAATAGCCAAAGAGAGTTATGGCAACCTGTTGTTACAAAATAGGGCTTAATATACCTAATGTATATCGTAAGACGTGTTATTGCAGTTTCATGGTTTGGTTTTGTTATAATGAAAATTTGCCTGTCATTGGCTTTCATTGAACTGAGCATTGGTTATTGTACTCTTACTGCTTTAAAATCTCATATAATCACATGACTCCGTAGCGACCAATGACCAATGATGAAACAGAATTCAAAATTAAACGAGACTTACCTGTAAGTTGATGTTTGATTTGGATTCTGTGAGTCATTGGTCGGGAGCGAAGGAGTCATGTGCCCACCCAATTGTGTTGAAACCCGACCCATGTATTGGTACGAGTACGATCTGGTTAAAAACTGATCTTCCGGTTCGCGCGCTTTCTCATATAATCACATGACTCCTTCGCTCCCGACCAATGACTCACAGAATCCAAATCAAACATCAACTTACAGGTAAGTCTCGTTTAATTTTGAATTTCTAAACTACAATGTAATAAAGCATGCAGACTAAGATGAAAAGATAAAAAAACTAACATCAGTACTGATTATAGCGTAGTCCAGAGAACACTATAGTTACAAAAAACTATGTCTCATTTACCCTACAGATTAAAATTTCTTTCAATGCTCTTTTAAATTGCATGAAACGTCAGTAGCTCTAACATCAAAGGGTAGTTTGTTAAATTGAATTGCCCCATTATAATAGAAAGCAGATTTTGTGCTTTCTAATCTTATTTTCGGGATTTTGAGGCTAAATCCGTTATTACGCGTGTTCTTCTCATGTTGTAGGCGCTCGAAGTAATTGTTAAAATTACTCAGGTGTTCATGTCCATACACTGCTTCACAAGTAAACAGGTTTGAAATTTTGCGAGGTTCATCAAATCAGGTACTTTGAGATGTGCAGATTCACCAGATTTAATTGTTCTAGTAGCTCGATCTTGGAGATTTTGAACTCTTGCAGTTTGAGTAGCATTTAGATTAAATGTAACAATACTTGAATATGTTAATAAGGGGACTATCATGCATTTATAAACAGATTGAGCAGCGTCCATTGTTATACAATGTCTTATCTTCTTTAATAACCTCAGTCTACCAGATGCTTTCTTGAACACCGAACAAAAATGTTCATTCAAGTTCTCGGTTTGATCCACCAAAACTCCCAAATACTTATACTCGTTCGTAAAATTGATTAGCCGATCATTAAAATGGATATTTAAGGTTTTATTCTGGATTCTCTGGTTTGTACCCAATAATATGGACTCCTGAGATTTAGTATAAGATCATTTTCATCCAACTACTGAGCAACCTTTTGCATTTCTTTAGTAAGTTGCTCTTCAATTTCACCGACGTCCCGGCCAGCTAGAAACAAGACGGTATCATCAGCATACTTTATAATATTTGCACAACTTAGGCGATCGTCAATGTCATTTATGTACAATATGAATAAGAGAGGCCCCAAGATGGACCCCTGCGGGACCCCTGATGTCAGTTGGAATTTCTCTGACAACGAACCGTTATAGTTGACAATTTGTGACCGATTGAACAGGAAGTTGGTAAACCATTCCATCTCAACTGATTGTACGCCAAATCCCTGCAGTTTGTTCAGTAGATTGGAGTGGGACACCGTATCGAAGGCTTTCGAAAGATCAATAAAGACCGCACCCGTTAATAAACCGTTGTCCATCTTTGCGCGCACATTATCCAGAAATAATGTCACAGCCAGTTGTGTGGAACGTTTCTGTCGAAAACCAAATTGGGAATCATTTATCAGATTATTTGATTCTAAATAATCCATAAACTGTTCATGAACCAGCCGTTCAGCGATCTTAGTGATGGCAGGTAGTACAGAGATAGGCCGGTAATTATCGAAATCATTGGTAGATACTTTTTTGTGGATTGGAATAACCTTAGCTTCTTTCCATTCTTTGGGTATTTCTATTTTGTGTTTTTTTTGTTTGTTTTTTTCTTTATTTATTTATTTTTTTTTCTTTGGGTATTTTTAGGTATTATTTGGGTATTTTCTATCTTTCAGCGAAGACATACACCGTTTCTATTGCTCTCCCCAAAACATTTGAGATGGAATTTCCTTTGACAATCATTGCACTTGTTACTGCTCTGGGTTCTCCTGATAGATTATCTTGGTACTAACATAGATTCGTAAGAATAACACTAAGTGCATCCTAGTAAGCAAATATGAGTCATTCATTTACATACCACTTCTCGATAGTTTGGCCCAACTGTTCTCCAATAAGAGAACTGCGAAATTGATTTTTAGGAAACCTAACTACTGTGATGCTGAGATACTTTATGACATATGTGATGGTGAACTTTTTAAAGATGATAGGCTTTTTAAGGAACATGAAGATGCATTGGTCATAATAATTTACCATGATGTATTGGAGGTGTGCAATCATCTTGGCAGTCGTGTTGCAACACATAAAATAAATTATGTTCTATTACACCTTCGGAAACCTTGAACCAAAAGTTAGAACAAAACGATGTGCCATTAGGGTCGAAATTGGTAAATAACTATGGATATAAAGTTATTCTTAATAAACCAACGATATTTGATATTAAGAAGCTGGAAAAAAGACACTCATTCAAAGTAGGTGGCAAAGAGAGAAAGGCATTTGGCGAGCAAAAATGAGCCAAAATTGTAATTTTTAGTTCCAAATTCTCGGACGTATATCTATTCTACGAGCAAAAGTTAGTGATCCATTAGCCATATATCCGCGTCTGGTTACAATTTTCACTCTAGAATACATGGAGCTTTGAGAATCTATTTAGCTAGTCTTTACAAAAGCTCATTTTAATCTATAACTATTCAATTCTTCCGTTACAAATTTATTTTTTAATAAATTCAATTCCAATGCATTGTAAGTTACAATGCATTGGAATTGAATTTATTAAAAAATAATTGGTTTTAAGGAAGTGAATACTAATATATAGAACACCGTCAAAGTAAATGCATGCAGATGTTACAGTAGAGACTTGCCCTTCAAACATAAAAGCACATAATTTAAATATGCAATATACACGCAATTGCTGCGTTACGCAATAATTTAATTAAAGTAGGCCATCAATGCATGCATATTGACATGCAGACCACTTTACTCAATGACCAGACTTTGCATTTGAATTCTTTTCAAGTAGTTAATGACCGTTCTGCAAACTCATCCATGAAAATAAAAATATATAACTATTAAAATCGTGAATGTTTGGCTTATAGTTTTGATGCTGATCACCGCTTAACAAAAAATACCTCTCCTTCTATAGCTTTATTAGTTATTTCCTTGTCATTCGCAATACAGATATCCCTTAAAATTTTTTACAATTTTCAAACTTGAAAGAATCAAGTCTAGTCCTTATTGTGCACATAAAGAATATAACTAAACTTATTTCTTCACAGTACCAAGCGAGGTTCTATACTCTTTTCTGTTCTGTACGTGGAGCTATATAGTCTTTTTAAAATAAAGCGTTATTTTAAACCACAAAATTAAATGATATTATTCAGTTACAATGCGTACAAATTGCATTAATTTCAATGAAAATTGAAAGAAAATTGAATTTATTAATATTAATTTTGATATTTGTTATTTTTTACTAGTGATATACCCAAAACTTAAGAAACAATCTCGAAAAAAAATATAAGAGGATGTGCTTACTAGCTAGTCATTACAAAGCGTGGTTTTAATTCACAAAATTTAATAATTGTTCTGTTGAAATTATTTAAATTATTATAACTAAATATTTATTAATTTGCTAAAAGTCTTCGTCCAAACCATTTTCAGTGGGTACCTTTACTCCAAACCAAAAGCTATACCGATATCATTTAAACTTGCGATATATTAATAATTATGCATTTTTTTCGTTATAAGCAATAATCTAAAGCAAGCCATCTGTATGTGCTTTGCATTTGCATTCGTTATAAGTAGTTAATGACCGTTCTGTAAACTTTTACTAAAAAAGACCGAAATATGAATAATATTAAATTCCTAAGTAGAAGTTGTTCTGATGCTGGCGACAGTAACTGATGGCTTTACCTGTATATGCAAACGAAAAATCATCGCTCTATACCGTTTTTATCATTTTCTAATTGTCATTCGCATAGTACATCCCGTGGAATAATTAAAAAACCTTCAAAAATAAAGGCACCCTTGGCTTTCTGTTCGCATGAAGGATAGCTATGGCAAATACTTCCGCAATTTTACACCCAGTGTCTAGCAAGATTCTTCTACCATTTCTTGTTCTTAAATTTACCGCGATGATCATTGGAGTTTTGGGAAATATTACAGTCATAATTTATATTATTTTGTTGAGGGAAAAAAGGACAGCGACATCTTACTTGGTAGGAAACTTGGCACTGGCAGATCTTCTCGTATGTTTAACATTTTATCCAATATGGATCATTGAGTTTATACAGACTATATTGAACATTGACAGTGATCAGGATCTGTTTTGTAAGTTGAGTCGTTCTATCATCTTCTCATTGTTGTTCACGTCAGTGGCGACACTTCTCGCAATTACTGTTGATCGGTTCTTATATGTTGTAAAACCTCTCAGGTATCCACTGATTGTGACCAAACGACGAGTTTTTCTGGCTATTTCAGCAATTTGGCTGACTGGGTGCTGTCTGCTCATTGCTTTATTTCCTTATTGGAGAAAATCAGTTAATTTCAGATTAAGAAGCTTTTGCCAAATAAATTATTACATATATATTTTGAGCGACATTTTTGTTGGTTACTTACCACTTACTTTAATATTAATTTTCAATTTCTGCATTTTAATTGTTGCTGAAAAACAACGAAAACGTATCTTGGCTGAAACAGCGGCAGCAGCTACAACTTCCAGCGGACAACCTGCAAACAAAATGTCTGCTTTACATCGATTTTTTCAAGCTCGTAAAGCAACGAAAACATTTTCTATTGTTGTTGCAGTGTTGACTTTCTGTGTGCTGGCTCCAAGTGTGGTCGGGCAGGTGCTATACTATTCTTGTAGTCCATCGTGTAAACAGATATGGTTCGTAGTTTTTCACTACGAATTTTATGGAATCAACTCGATAGTGAATGCTTTCATCTACGGAATGAATCATATAAAATACAGAAAAGCTTATCGACATATTCTGTTTAAAATAATTTGCTCTAATAAACTCACAAATTGATCGAGGGTTCTGCCATGCACAACGGCTGGAAAACTGCTAGAAATCAATGGAACATGCTAAATTATGAATCAGTATACTGTAATTCTAATCAAGATGCAAAATCTCGTTCTGGTGAAATGGATTACTATTCTAGAATACTTTGACTATATATAGGTACGTCGAAGCAAGACCCTATGATTTTCCTATTTGTGTTCAAGATCAAATTATTGACGAATAATCTCACAACCGCAACTTCGAACTGCATAAACTTCAATCGTAAACAGCAGGAACCACATCACTGCACAAACTGGAACCACCAGCCGCACGAAACGCAACGCTAAACAAGTTACGTTTGATGCTAGGAAGGGCCGATTGTATCAAATAATTTACTGGAGATAAAGTTAACGATAGTTAGTGAAGCAATAAGAGTTATTGATTCAGTAGAATTAGTGCGATTTAAAATGCCGAAAACAAGTTTGCTCAGTGTAGAAAATTAACAAAGCATTTTATTACAGAGACTAGCTTCAGTGAATTACGCAAGAATAATTTTACTCGAATTAGCTACTGCTTGTTCTTTTAAAAACAAATTTAACTAACATGAATCACCTGTTGGTCTTTTAAAGTCAACTTAAATTGACGCAAATAAAGGACTTTTCTTGTTAAAATTATGATTAAAGTTAGTAATAAATATTTCAGGGGATTTTTATGTAGTCAATCTGCAGTGTAATTTTCTCTACATGTTACAGCTTCTAATGTTATGCATACTAGTTTGTCTTTTACAATATAATTATGATTGTAGGCGATGAGCTACCTCGCGGAAGTATTGCTACACTATATAATAATATACGTGAGAAAAATTCTCAGATCTCTTTGGCTGAGAGCAATGCAATTTTGAGGAAGGACGGTGTAGTCATCGCTAGAAATCGCGGACATTTGAATCCCGAAATATCCCTTACGCCTGTGCCCCTTATTATCCTTTCAATCCCCGAATTTTCTGATTTTAATATAATTAAAGGATTACTAAAAAAGTTAGAAAAAGGATTACAAAATGTAAACGCAGTAAAAGGATTACAAAATGTTAACAACCAAAAAATAGAAGAAAGAGCTCTCGAATGATATACAATTAAGGTTGTCCTTCCAAAAACTTGAACCTTAATATCTGAGCGCGCAAGCGTGATGGGTTATTGTTTATTTAGGCTAATAAACTTTGAAATTTGGCTTTGCAAGAATACCTAAGACATATAGAAGACTCACGACACATAACATACTTGCTGCAAAGGCAATTCTATGCATTTAAGGGCCTAATAGCTGAAAACCCACCATCTCTTGCCACTCAGAGTTCAAGGTTTTCGAGGCACAACCTTAATTGAATCAGCTGTATCATTTTGGGCCATTTTTGCTTAAACAATCATGGCCAAACTGCGAAA